GGGGGAGGGGGAGGGAGAGGGGAAGCAGCAGGAGGGGCCAGGGCTGGGTGTGCGGGCTCATCGCACACTCTCTCTGCTTCATGGTGGACATTTACGTGACTCCTCTAAGCACACGGGCAGCTGGGAAGATGCTACCTATAAAACTATAACCAACTTTGCAACGCAGACCAGTTCAGAGGGGCAGGGGACAGTGAAGAGGGTGGGAGGTGACACGTGGGGAGGGGTTCCGAGCGGTGCAGCTCCAGCAGACACGTGGAGCAGTCACCTCTGCCCGGCACCAGGGGGCGCTCGGAGGATTGAGTGCTGTTGGCGGGCAGCAGTATTTCCCTCTTCCAGCAGGGAGGACCCAGGCCGTCCACTGGGAGATGTTTAAGTTGTGGAAGATAGCACAGGAGGGGAGGGCGTTAAAGACAGGGCGCCCAGCATCATCCCAGCGTCATCGCATGTACAGAAGCCATACAGAAGCTGAGGGTACGCGAGAAGGGTCAGCACCACGGACAGAGGCTAACAGGCAGGGAGGGACCTTCCCAAGGCATTCATGGCAGGTGCTGAGCGGGAGGTGAATAAATACTCTGAGGAGAGAAAAAGGAAAGGAAGGGAAGGGAAGGGAAGGGAAGGGGAAAGAAAGAGAAAGAAAGAAAGAAAGAAAGAAAGAGAGAAAGAAAGAAAGAAAGAAAGAAAGAAAGAAAGAAGAAAGAAAGAAAGGGCAACAGGCAGAGAAGGCAGCAGCCAGCAGAGAACACCGGCCCAAAGGAAAAAGCTGGTGGGAATGGGCTCCCCCAGGCACAGCCCCGTGGAAATGTCAACCCCACGGAGGGAGTGTTTCTGTGCGATGGCTTAGCCAGGTGCACAGCGCACACCTTCCGCTCCCTCCCTTCACCGCAGCCTGGCGTCTCTTTCATGTAAACAGGGTGGGGAGCATCTGGCCTAGAAATCAGTGGGCCTGGCCCTGCCAAGCACTGGGGTGAGTTAATTAAATGTTTGACCAAATAGAACAGCTAATTGTTAAGATGATAATGTTGTATGACCCACGAGTGATGTTATAAATGTCCAAAAGGTCTGGGCAGGAAAAGGTTCCCCACCCCTGATTTAAAAGGTGCCACAGCAGCTACATGGGGGAGAGGGCCTTCCCTGAACAGCGGCGAGTGCAGACCTACACAAGCAGGGCGCTCCGCGATCCTCGGGCAGGTGTCATCACCACCGTCCCCTGCTGGGTCTGTGGTGTGGGATCTTCAGAGGAGAAGGCTGCTTTATCAGCATCTCGCTGAGTGCGATGGCCTCGGGAAAGGCCGTGCGGATAAATGTGCTCAGAGCCTTCTGCGTCTCACGGAGGAGCAGGCACGGCCCCTCTCCCTCAGGCGGTCACACAGGGCATAACTCACATGTCGGCGAGCCCAGCGCTGCGTGTTGGCCCCGGGAAAGGCCATGCAGTGCCAGCATCGCGCTGTGAGCGGCGCTGTCTCACCTGGGGCTTTGGGGACAAATACGCATTAACCATGTGACCTGGGCGCGTGTGACCACAGCAGAGATGGGGCGTGTGACGGAGTGAACGCATCCGTAGCCCACCTTCCAGAGCCTGTGTGGCCCACACCACGTGGGGCTGGGGCTGGCCAGGGCCCCGCCCACCTCATCCTCTTCAGTAAAGTCAGGAAACCATGAAACCGCAGAGAGGGGTGTGAGCAGGGACAGTGTCGCGACCCGGTCCATCCGGCATGGGCATGGCCACCTTCCCTCCACCAGCCACATGGGGAAGCACACCCGAAGGCGCCCTCCTCACAGGTGCCTGGCGTCCGCCCCCCCCCCGCCCCCCTCCCACACACACACACACAGCGAAGCAGGTGCTGGGAAGATGGAGTTGACAACAAACGACCCCAGAGGGGGTGGGGCTGACTTACCATCGCCGGTGCCTAGGGGCTCGGTGGGGTCTTCTGAAGGCGAAAACCGCTTCCCGTGTTTCCTCCAAGGCACACGCAGAAGGTCATCAGGCGCGAGGGGGCCCGCCGGGGTGGGCGAGGGGGCTATCATGGCCAAGTAGGCGATCAGCTGCCTGAGCAGAGTCCGCTTCTGG